TTGAAGCAAGAGGGGGTCACAGAAGGGAGATGCAAGTTTCTGTTCCAGGCATTCCTGCATATTCCTCTCAACTGGAGCCCCACCTGCCTGCTCCACCCCACCCCCACCCCGGTCCTGATCTATGACAGGCCCTCCTGCCCCTCCCAGGACTCTCCTCTGCAACCTCAGACAAAGAGAGACCGCCTCTCTGCTTTTATCGTTCTTGACTCTCTGTGCGGTTTGCCATAGGGCGCTCTGAGCTCAGGTCGTTGAAATCGCTCTGGGCCACTTGAGGGTGGGGTGGTGTCCTTCCCCGGTTGTCCATTTTGCTTCCCCTCTGTCCCACGGTCAGTCAGAGAAGCACTTGACACTCAGACCGGGTTGATCCGATTATCAGCAGCCCCCGGAGGAGTCGAGGCAGGCGCTGCAGGGCCCGTTCTCACAACAGGCCCGTGGACAGGCAAGGACCACAGTAGACCCTCTCCATGAATAACACAAACAATGGACCCAGTCAGAATAAAAAAAGTCTAGAAGCGTTAACATCTATGGAGGGCAATGTTGCCTGGGTGTATTGGAGATTTTCAACAAAGGCATGGCAAATCAAGCATGATGCTCATCAGTGTTTAAAAGAACTGCAAACATAGTATTTTTAACCCAAGAAACATAATAGTGTATAAGATGTAAAGAGTCACTCAGGAACCAAATCATGAAGAATGTTCCTTACCTGCGGTGACTTTTATCTGAAGAGATATAACAGAAGGCAAAAACAAAAATAATGGCATTCTTGGCGGTATTGAGAGCTATGGACCATGATCACCTGACACCCTACTCGGTCAGACTCTAGGGAAAGCGTAGACATGGGCAGCTGTTCTAGAAATGCAGGCAGTAGCCAGGAGCAGCAGGAAGCACACAGCGCAGCCTTTTTCTCGTTGTCACCCTTCGCGCCGCCTAAATACGGACTATCTATGCTCGATGAGCAGTAATCGTTCACCCGTAATACCAGCGCTTCCACAGGATCAAGAGCTCAGATCGTGCGCCCATTATTGTCACCAGCAGCCTAAGAGACCCAGACTCTACACCGGCGCCAAAGGCCACATACATCGCGGAGCCTGATGACTGTGGCACAACAGTCATTAAGCTGCGGAGTCGGCAGCCATTAATACTTCCCAGGAGCTTGCCCCTATGGTTGCCCAAGACCCCGAAACCCTTTTATGAACATGATACTCCCTAATGTGATCCTTTCATCCTGGAATCTCCATAACCACTTGGAACTCAATGCTTCATACAACTTGCGTCCATTCCGTAGCGCCTGCAGTGGGCCCTTCACATAGACTAGGTGCAGTAATGGATCTATCACCGTCAATAGATCTTCTCGAGCTAAGTCTTACTCATTAAAAGAGAAACTCAGAAGCATGTCACACGTCTAGGAAAATCCTGGTTGAAAATCAGGGAAGTAATCGGGAAATCTGGCGAGCCGTAGCTCACGCTTTATCGCCACAGAACGTGGGGTCCCGTTGGCTTCCCTGAGGCTTCCCAGGCCAGCAGTGTCCCGGGCCTGACTCCAGAGGTTCGTTTAGAATCGAAAGGCCGAGAGACCCGAAAGCATCTGTCGTGTCCAGAGCCCCCCACTCCCAGTGCCGCTGCTGGCCGCGAGTGGTGCAGGTTCCTGCGGAACCGACCCGGTACGCGTCTTCATGCACGGAATCGCTGCCGTGCCGCCTGACGTTGCCTTCTTCTCCTTCCTCCCTCCATCTGGGACGTTGCTGCGTCGGCACCTCCGCTGCTGCAGTTGCCAACATCCTGTGGCGAGAAGAAGGTAGGGAGCGTGACTTGTCTGCGTCGTGCCCGTGACATT